CAAAAAAACAAAAAAAAACCCAGAAGCTTTAAAATGAACTAAAACCCAAGTAAAGTGAGTTTGTAATGTAAGTGTTGCATTTTTTTCTATCTTCCTGCCCATGGCCATTTCCTCATTTCTTCCATTGCTTCAATATTAAGAAACAAACAGCTTTAAGAAATAAAATGGTTTTTTCCTGTGACCCCACATCAGTGTCACAACATTCAAGGCACAGAAGCAACTCCCATAAAGTGCTAGCTGTTTAGAGTCACAGCCACCAAATTTGCTAAGTCACTGGGGGTACAGTTCTTAAAGAGCTAATGATGCTCTTTGCTAAAATATGAATACATTATTTCTAACGCAACGCTTACAATGAAAGCAGCTGTGCTAGACAGGAGACCAACATCCATACATTTTGGCTCAAGTCAGTAACTGAGAAATGAGTTCAAGAACCTTCTTTAAGTCATCATTAATCATGTCCCAGGAGAGGCTGCTGTGCCCGCTACAAAAGGGCCAGGAATGAAGCTGCACAGACTGCATTAGCTGGGCACCGGGCTCTGCCACTCTGCACCTAAGTTCTTAAGGCAGTACAGAGAACCAGGTGACCCGGACCAATCATTTTTCACTTAGTTGAGGCACTTTTTTTTTTTTTTTGAGACGGAATCTAGCTCTGTCGCCCAGGCTGGAGTGCAGTGGCGCGATCTCGGCTCACCGCAAGCTCCGAAGTTGAGGCATTTTTAATTAGGGGAAATGCATGCTTCATTATTTGACTCACTGAAAGGGGAGAAGGGACTTTTTAAGCCTGCAAGAACCACTACGTAGTTTCCCCACTCACCCAGCGAAGATAATTCTCTCAAAAGCAGAATAATTGACAGGTTGAGTCATCTTCCCCACAGAGCCCCACTCCCCCACAGATTTGGTGATGCCTTACATTTCCCTTCCCCACAAGACAGCCCACTCCTGCCCCCACAGCACCTCAGGCCACCAAAGGGCAAATTATTTGCTAACAATGCTGCAGCCGGGGAGTCCTGACCTCTATCTCCTCTGTGGCCTCGGGAGTAGCCACGCCCTCAAGATGGCCAACTGGGGGTTACTGATCCTGGCTCCAATCCTAATCTCACCAGCAGGCAGAGCAAGTCAAGGGCTGGAATGTTCCCCTGTTAAGAGGTATTCCACTTACAGGGGAACACCGAAGGCTTAACTCAGCCCCTCCTTGCCTGCCTTTGTCTAGAGGTCCCAATCTCAGATGATCAAAGAGCATCTGCTCCAAGCAGAGAGTTGGAAAGTTACATTATCAGTGACTTTGTCAATATTAAACCAGATCCCTGGGGGGACTGGTTTCCAGGAGACACGTGGTTAGAGGGCCTGATTCCCCACGATTAGCGCGTTTGCGGACAGCAGTAAGATAATGAATCAAGGCCCTTATGCTCAATTCTGGACTAAGTAATTGTGCTCGAAAATAATATATTCATTCACAGGCTTTTCTTCTGGGTATTTCGCCAGAGATTAGACACTTAACTGAGTGTGCAACATCCACGTAGGCATGAATCCTTTCAACCGTCATGAGGAAAATATTACTCCCAGTTTTCCCAGGGGAAACTGAGGTGTAGCGGCTGAACTCCTTCAATCAGTCTCAGGAAATTAATGAGTCAAACCTGATTCTAAAAGCCTTTCTGACAACTTCCCGATATCTCTCTCCACGTGGACCTTCACTGTCGGCCTCACTTTAACCCGTATCAGCAAAGGTCCAAGCCCTGGGTCTGGAGTATGCAGATTAAGAAGCCCAGGGATGCCTTTCCATGACTAGTCTTTAAATGACCTTCAGACTGGAAGGTGCTTTCCTGCATCTTCTAATCCAGTGTGCTTGCCACCTGGTGAGACCTTACGAGGCTTCCTGTCCCCCTCCCTCCCACAGCAGGAAGCTCGTGCCCCACTCCCAGCATTACCGGGTATACATTTTAAGATTGTGAGCTCGGTGGGCTATGACTCGTCCAGTCATTCTGGTCTCTAACTCCGACCCCCAAAGAGCCCTTGACCCACACCGTTTGCGTTGAGTGAACGCCACAGATTTCCTGCCCCCTCCGTAACCAGAGCCCACCCCCACACCACCCCGCGGCCTCCGCGTTCCACAATCAGGGCGCATGTGTTAAAAAAACCTGCTGGATAATAAAAAAAAAAAAAAAAAAAAAAAAAAAAAAACGAAAAGAAAAAAAAAAAAAACGTGCCGGAGAGGCGCGGAGTGGGCGAGGGCCGGCAGGTCCCAGCGAAGCCTGCAGACGTTTCTACGGCCCGTTACGCGGCCCAAGGCCACCGCCCGGTGAAGCGGGGTGGACCCTGGGCGCGGCCGCTACGTGCAGCCCGGCCGCGGCGAGATGGAGCGTGGTCCCTGGTGGCCACCAGGCAAGGGCCAGGAGAGCTCGCGGGTCCCGAGCCATTCCCAGACCCTCGCAGGCCACCCATCTAATCCCGGTCGCATGGGACAGCACCGCGCCGCAGGGGCAGCCGCCCTGCCTCCCGGCAGCGGGGCAGGCCAACGTTACGTAAGCCTCCAGCTGCTCCCGGGCCGCCGCATCCCGCCCGCCGCGCGGGGCACCCAGCCCAGCCCTCCGCCCGCCCGCCCCGGACACGGGGCCCCAGCACCGCCCGAGCCTGCTGGGAGTTGGGAGGCGGTGATGGAAAAGGGGCGCGGGACCGCGCTCGGAGACCGGAGCAAGTGGGCGGGCGCGACCAGAGCAGAGAGAGAGGGAGGCGACATGCCAGGCGAGGAGGGGGATGCGGGAGAGCGGACGTGACCAGCGAGCAGGGGGAGGGGCGGCAAGAGGGGACTGGGGCGCAGGAAGGGCGGTCGCGCATGAATAGAGCATGGACCCGGGAGGGGAACCAGAACCGAGTTTCAGTAAGTTACACGGAAGCCATCAGAACGAAGGGGCACGCACAGGTTTAAGAGGAGTGGGTGGAAGGACCGGACTTAAGGAGGAAGTGGAACAAACGAGCACGGAACAGAGGGCGCGGAGAAAGGGGAGGCAAGGGTGGAATCAATCACGAGGGACCGAGAGAAGGCAGGCAAGGATGGAGGCGCACTGAGGATTGGGGCAGGAGGATGGGACCAGAATGAGGGGGTAGGGCTGGGACGGGAAAGGAGCCGGCGGACCCGCCTGATCTGGAAGGAACGGCGCTGGGGACTTATGAGGAGCCGTACTCCAGTCTCTGAGCTCCACCGCGTCCCACATGCCCCGGATCCTGCGCTGCTCCGCCTGCGTGCCCGGGGCCGGCCGGCGCGCCGGGATTCCGCACTAGCCGGGTGCACGGGCCCTTGGTGGGGACAGATGGCGCAGCCTCTTGCACCGCTCACCTCTGGCGCTGACCGACTCGGGCTACGCTGCAAATTGGAAGAGATGTGGATCCCAGGAACGTGCAGCTGCTGTGCGAGTAGCAGGGGCCTCAGCCTCAAGGTTATCCCGCTGCGGGCCTCCGCAATCCCTCCGCCGCCCCGCCCTCTGTCCAATCTCGGCTCCCGGCGACCCGGGCCCCGCCCCCTGCGTCTTTGCGGGCGCAGTCACCTTCAGGAGGAAGCGCGGTGGCGGCGGCAGAAAGCGCGGGCAGGTTGCCCTTTCGGGGGGACTAAATTCTGCGGCGGAAGGACACATATCAGAGTCACACTTTAAGGAACCTGACGGCCAATGGGAACGCGGCGGGGCAGCGGAGCCCGCCCCTAGAGCGACTTCCCTCCTAGACCCCCCGGGCGCCGGGCCACCTGTTGCCGCCAAGTTGGGCTGCCAGATGAGGTCTCTTCTTGGCTCTCGGCCCAGGCCACCCCAACTATCCCGGCCTACCTGGGCAGGGCCCAGATTTATGGGTTCCGGGGCAGCATTCTCGCGGCCCCGCCCTGCCACTCCCCACTCCTCCGGGTGTCTGCCCTGGCGCACCCTCGGAGACTGAGCTGAACGGGAAGTTGGGGAGAGCTGCAGACTTGTGCGTGGTTGGAGGTCTCGACCGCCTTCGGAGGGGCTCTGGCACTGGAGCGGCAGTAGGGAGAACTAGGGACTGCGAAGTGGGCCTGGAGCGGGAGCGCGAGGCCCTTTTCCTCTTAGGACCATTTGTTGTCTTAGAACCGCGGAACAAGGAAGGACAGGTTGGGGCCATGTGAATAATTTAGTAGGGTCTGGAATCCTGCAGAGCGAATGCCTGAGAGTAAAAAGCAAATAGACGGCGTTGATATTAGCGCAGAGCTGGGCATCTGGAAATATCAAGTCAGAACATTAGAGCCGATAACCTATGCAGGAGTCAGGATTTCTGTTTTCACCTTGTCATGAATTTAAGTCAATATTGTTGGAACTTTTCTTACATTTTTCTACAAGACATTTTCCGATTTGCCAATTGTTAGCCAGCAACCAATGATGCGAGCAGTTATCAATTAAACAGCTGTTAACTCTTGCCTTCATTCACAGATACAATGTTGCGCATTCAAAATGTGAAGACCGTTCTCTCAGGTTCTTTTTTTCTTTTCCTGGCAAAAGAGACCAAATGAGTGTGACCTGCTCAGGCTTACCCGCTGCCTGCAGCTGAATCACAGGCCTTCATTCGCTTCCTGTTAGCTCAGATAAGCTGGGATGAGACAGTGACAGCCTAAAAGTAAATTTCTGTTTGAAGTGAGATAAAAATTTTTCACTTTCTTCTGTAAGCCTTTCCTGGTCACTTTAGCTGTTGTTGAGAAGGAAATGCTTGATTATTAAGGTGGTGAAAGAACATGAAGTTGTTGAGAAGAAAAAAAGACATACCCACCTAGGGAGAGTTAGATTGCTCCCTGTCAGAGAAAGAGGGATGGCATAAAAGGCCCTCTTTGGCCCGTGAGCTGAGGACTAAGAACAGTGATGGACAGCACTGGGATGGCAAGGATCTGGCCGATGCTGGACCATGTTGTATTTTAAAGTTCTAAATTGGGTGCGGTGGCTCACGCCTGTAATCCCAACACCTTGGGAAGCCGAGGCGGGCGAATCACATGAGGCCAGGAGTTGAGACCATCCTGGCCAACGTGGCGAAATCCCATCTTTACTAAAAATACAAAAACTAGCTGGGCGTGGTGGTGCACGTCTGTAATCCCAGCTACTCGGGAAACTGAGGCAGAATGGCTTGAATCCGAGAGGTGGAGGTTGCAGTGAGCAGAGATCGCCCCACTGCACTCCAGCCTCGGTGACAGAGACAGACCCTGTCTCAAAAACAACAAAAAAGTTCTAAATCTAGATATGTTCCCAAGACTGAAATGCACATGTAGAATTGATGGCAAACTGTTACTCCTCAGTTGCAGATTTTGATCTGACAGTTCTAGAAATGCTGTCCATAAGCCTCTGGCAGAGACAAATCCAGCGAATCCTTGCTCACATTAGATGCATAATAGGCCAGGTGCGGTGGCTCACGCCTGTAATCCCAGCACTTGGAGGCCGAGGCGGGCAGATCACGAGGTCAGGAGATTGAGACCATCCTGGCCAACATGGTGAAACCCCGTCTCTACTAAAAATACAAAAATTAGCCTGGCGTGGTGGCGGGCGCCTGTAGTCCCAGCTACTCATGAGGCTGAGGCAGGAGAATCACTTGAACCCAGGAGGCAAAGGTTGCAGTGAGCTGAGATGGCGCCACTGCACTCCAGCCTGGGCAACAGAGCGAGACTCCATCTCAAAAAATAAATAAGTGCATAGTAAAAATTTGTCACACTGAATTTAAGGCAATTTTCCTTTTGCTGATAAATATAGAAGATCAAACTTGGAGGCCAGGTGCCATGGCTCACACCTGTAATCCCAGCACTTTGGGAGGCCGAGGTGGGCGGATCACAAGGTCAGGAGATCGAGACCATCCTGGCTAACACAGTGAAACCCCATCTCTACTAAAAATACAAAAAATTAGCCAGGCGTGGTGGCACACACCTATAGTCCCAGCTACTTGGGAGGCTGAGGCAAGAGAATCGCTTGAACCCAAGAGGCGGAGGTTGCAGTGAGCCAAGATTGCGCCACTGCACTCCAGCCTGGCTAACAGCAAGACTCTGTCTCAAAAAAAAAAAAAATCAAGCTTTGGTTCCATCATACCTTAGTTCCAGTTTCACCCACTAGCCCTATGACCAAGTATTGTAATTTTTAATGTGTAGAAGTCCAGTTCTCAAAAGTAAATTGAAGACAATTTACTTCTATGGTGGGATTTGATGATGTATGTGAATGAGTCCAACACTGCCCAATAGGCACCCTCTTTCTTTGGGAATTGACTAGTCCTGGGGGCTGTCCTTATGTGATACACACACACACACACACACACGTTTTCATCCAAAGTTCCTTGCTTAAACTCCCACAGCTCTTGTTAGTCTTTTGTTTATAATGTTGGGGGCACTTTAGGCTCAGAAGCAGGCCTCAGAGAACAGAATTCTCTCTCTCTCCCTCTCTGACCTTCTTCTGCCTTCCTTTGACCTGTTCCTTTTCCCCCAAGGCAGAAATCTTCCCCCAACTTGGTGTCTTGGATCTGGCTATAAATAAGTTATTTGTCATACCTTTTCTGATGGTAGGTTGTAAGACCCCCATTTCAGAAGGGGTCCTGCCCTGTACCTTGGAGGACGGAATGCTGCACAGAGGCCAAGACAAATCTCGACAGGCCTTGCTGGGTTCCCTCACTCAGTCTAGATTATCAGTATGAGATCATATCTTTTGGTCCAAGCACATTTCTACATGATTATCAATCATGCCTATCCAAGGAAGTCTCCATAAAAGGGGAAGTCTCCATAAAAGGCCTAGGAGGACAGGATTTGGAGGGCTTTCAGATAGGTTCCTGGAGGGTATCACTCCCAGGGAGGGCATGGAGCTTCCATGCCCCTTCCCCCATACCTGGCCCTGTGCATCTCTTCATCTGTATTCATTATAATATCCCTTGTAATAAACCAGTAAATGTGTTTCCCTGAGTTCTGTGAGCCTCTGTAGCAAATTAATTGAACCCAAAAAGGGGATCATGGGAATCCCAAATTGAAGTTGGTCAGACAGAAGTTCTGGAGACCCATACTAACTACTGATGTCCAAACCAGGGGCAGTCTTGGGGACTGGGACCTCAACCTGTGGAATCTGACATTATCGCCAGGTACAGTGCCAGAATTGAATTGGAGGACACCCAGATGATGCCTGCAGCAGAACTGATTGCCTGCTTGGTGTGAGGGAAAACCCCCCACATATTTGGTCACAGAAGTCTGTGTTGATTGTTGTAGTGGTGGTGTGAGAACAGAGGAAAACTACAGTCTGAGTTGGTTTTTTCCACAAACACCTTCTGACCAGAGCCAGAATGTCTTCCTGAATTTAAGCTTGCCCTTCTCTGGGCCATCACTCTTTTGACCCAGGAACAGGTCAGGACTACAGGAAACTGGGGTTGCTGAAGGAGGACACAGGGTTCTCCCCCTAGAGCTAGCTCTTCCACTGTGTTCCTGGACTTGACCAGGATGGGAGGGGAAACTGCTAGGTTCACTGGATTTTGGTGTGAGTATAGGTGGAAATTGGTATGTTTTCTGTTTGGATTCTTGACCACAGAATCTACAGTTTAATGGTTTAACTCTCTAAAATCATTTGGAGTCCCTGGAGAAGGGGTGGTAGATGTGTCAACAAACCATAATGAACCTAATCCTGGAGCCTAAAGACAAGCTTTGGCCCTGATGAAGAGGGTGAGATTACAAGCCTTACATGAATTATGTGACATCTTAGCCTCTCTCTGAAATGGCAGTGTTCTCTCAGGACAATTCAATTTCCAGGGCAGCCTACCACGCCCAGCCTCTACGTGAAATTTAAAAATTAGCCAGGGCCAGGCTTGGTGGCTCACGCCTGTAAACCCACCAGCACTTTGGGAGGCCGAGGAGGGCAGATCAACTGAGGTCAGGAGTTCGAGACCAACCTGGACAACATGGCGAAACCCCGTCTCTACTAGAAATAGAAAAAATTAGCCAGGCGTGGTGGCGGCCACCTGTAATCCCAGCTACTCAGGAGGCTAAGGCAGAAGAATCGCTTGAACCCAGAAGGCGGAGGTTGCAGTGAGCTGAGATTGTGCCATTGCACTCCAGGCAGGGCGACAAGAGGGAGACTCTGTCTCTAAATAAATAAAATGTAGAGATGGGGTCTCACTGTTGCCCAGACTGGTCTCAAACTCCTAGGCTCAAGTGATCTGCTTGCCTCAGCCTCCCAAAGTGCTGGGATTACAGGTGTGGGTCACTGCACCGAGCCCAGGTGAACTTTTTTTTTTTTTTTTGAGACAGAGTCTCGCTCTGTTGCCCAAGCTGGAGTGCAATGGTGTGATCTCAGCTCACTGCAACTTCCACCCCCCGGGTTCAAGTGATTCTCCTGCCTCAGCCTCCTGAGTAGCTGGGATTACATGCACTCACCACCATGCCCAGCTAATTTTTCTATTTTTGGTACAGACGGGGTTTCGCCATGTTGGTCAGGCTGGTCTTGAACTTCTGTTCTCAGGTGATCCATCTGTCTCGGCCTCCCAAAGTGCTGGGATTACAAGCATGAACCGCTGCGCCTGGCCTCAACTTCTATTCTACCTCTTCCTTCAAACTCCTCCAATTTCTCCAGGCCTATGAGGGTGGCATATCAGTTTCCCCAGACAAAT